TATATATATATATATATATATATGATGTGTTTTTTTGAGGAGTGACAGTACAGCAGTATGAGCAGCCCATGATGTGTGGACAAACAATATGTAATGTAATGACATCATTTCAACTGGAGGCATATAACTTGAATGAGATGGGAAAATCATTAATGGCAACTTAACAGTTTGGAATGAGGCAGTACTGACATCTTTTAATCTTTATCATCTGGGAATAGGAGCTTTAGATCTCTCACTGTTATGGCAGTGATGACTGGTTTGTAGCTTGGTGGTAAAGGTATTTTATATTATAAACAATGTGATGCGGGATGTGTACTATCACAGTTGTGTAACGGATGGATGATAAAGATTAAGGTATTCTCCCAAGGGTCATCTTAGGAGACTCAGGCAAACCATGATAACCCCTCAGTCTATACTGCTGGTAGCCTGGCCACAATTTTAATCAAGTATCTTTTGAAAGTGTTGTCACTGCTGATAAGCATTTTTACCAGCAGAAATGCTGAGTTACGAATCTGTGTAATAACATAATTTCTGTTATTTTTAAAAATACGCCCCAAACTAAAATCCTAAACATGTTATAGCTTGGCCAGATGGTTAAGGAAGACTCTGCATCCCTGAGGCTATTAAATGTCAACCATATTTATAAAACTAAAACTGGATTTTTGCAAATGTGGTACTTGCCGCTTTATCTAGGAAGAGCCAGGAGGCGTGACAGTGACTACTCCAGCAACACCTGTAACAACTGGAGCCCCAGTGATACCAACTGTGGTGCCTGTTACCTCAGTAGGGCCACCTGTTCTGGCAGGAACAAGTGTAGCTCCATCCCATCCAGAAGGACAAGTCAAGTCAGAGTACTTCTCAGACAACTCACAATCACTGCCTGGTATACTGGGCATGCCAGGACCAGTGGGGTTTGAACCAGGAATGTTTCGTGCCAAGGAAAGTGATGGTGAAAATGGACACATGAAACATCACAAAGCAGATGCCATGTCTAAGGTAAACTGATCATTTACACTGAAAAATAAACTGATTAGCTTTGTATGAACATAAATTGTAAATTGTAAACAACACAGCAAGCCACGAACAACACGGACAATACTAAGAATCTCCTTTCTCAAGATAGACAGACGGCACAAGATCAGCCACCTCCAAGAAAGACAATAGGAGAATTGACACAAACCTCCATGGTTTATAATAATTTTAATCTTAAACAACAAAGTTTTTAAGAAACTTTAAAAATTTTAATACCAGGAAGGCTGCTGTGACTGTGAAAAGGTGAACATTGTGTGCATTGTGTATTTCAGACATTATATGTGTATAAGTAGTTACTATAGGATTCTAACGATGGTGTATAACACATAGAGATATTGGGTTTTCAGACTTTATCCATTGTCCTGGTTTTAAAATAACTAACAAAAACACGACATTTTGGAAACTGGATCTGTTTCCGTCCTCAGCTGAGGGAAAACACCCATTCTGTTGTGTCCCTTAGAAAGAGCTAGCCTCAATCACTGGACTGAAACAGAAACAGATCCAGTTTCCAAAATGTCATGTTTTTCTTAGTTATCTTAAAACCAAGATGATGGATAAAGTCTGAAAACCCAATATCTCTATGTATTATATGTGTATGTACATAATTGAACACCTATTGTAATAGTAGTTTCCGGAAAAGGTATTGATGCCCTCTGAGGATGATCCATAGGGATCAAAACATGTAAGGGTGATGAGTTTTCAAGTGATAAAACTTAAATAGTCACACTGGACGGTGTTGTTTTTGTCTTTGTGATAAATTTGTAGACTCAGGTGTAAGTCAATCATATTGATCTTGTTTATTTACTTCAGGTTGTTGTGGTCTTTAATGTTTATGTATTTACATATGGACACCTTTCCATATAGTACTGCTAATATAAAATAAAGTTATTGTCTGTCCTCATGTCCTTAGCCAATGTTGCTTAACCTGTGGTGCATTATAGGGCATTTACAGGAAAGAAATATGTACTGTTGGATGTTATGTGGACCAGTTTTATTTTAAGGCAAATTAACAAAAAACAATTATTGGTGATTTGTTTCTTGTTATTGTCAGTAATCTGTTCCATTTGCATAACCAAAGGGTATATTTGAACTAGTTTCCTTTCAAAACAGAAGTTGTGAACGTATTTAGCTGGCTGATGGACCATGTTAGTTGGATATACTGAAGGAGAGAAAGGGACATATAAAATAAATTCTTTGGAAAAATAAATATAATTGTAGATCAAAATTTATACTTTCTATTGTTTCTTAGTTTTTTCATGATGCTGTTCCAACTGTATTGGTTGTACACTGTGAAATGAGATGAGAAAACAAACATGAACACTGAGTCACTGAGGGTTTAGAATGGGTGGATATCATAGCCTAATTGAGTATACTATCCTGGTATTTGCCTGAAGAAACGGGAAAAGCATGAGACAGTTGGGACTGCTGGTAAATCAGACGAGCCTTTAACCAGGCACTTTCCATGTGATATTTGAAGAGAATCGGTTCACCATAGAGACATGACTGTGGAATATTATTTTGGAGCATTCACAATTTTTATATTTATTCTATATGAAAAATGACTTGATTGATAAGGGCATGTGAAACGTGTTCATTATGTAGCCATCCCTGCAACCCTGTCTTGTTTTAATATCATGGTACATTCTTTTTTTTCAGCTTAAAAAGAAGAAAAAGGATAAGAAGAAACACAAACATAAGCATAAACACAGGCGTGACCATAGGCATGGGAAAGAGAAAGATAAAGAAAAGGATAAAGACAAGGAGAAAGATAAAAAGGATCTAAGCAAATTGAAAATTAAGGAAGAGACACTAAGCTCAGGCAGTTCAAGTCCAAGTCCTAGTGCGTCCATTTCCCGTGAATTCTCCTTCTAAGTGAAATAAAGTAAAGATTTGTGTGAACATTGACTGAAAGTTTTCCCAATCCAGGGGTTAATTATGTGAAGATTTTCAATGTAAGTGAATGTTTTGTTTTGTACCAAAAGATACATGAACATATGTTAATAACTGAGGTTATTATTATATACCATTTTTCTGGTAACCACAATGCTCCTACAGACTTTAGTACATTCAGCTACATGAACTATCCGCTGTTAAGAAAAATTACAGCTTTCATTGCAAGGGACACTGCAGATTAAGAACTGAGCATATAACCTATATGCAATCGTATTTTTAAATAAATATGTCTGATCATATCGTTACACTGAAATGACAGATTTACTCATGCATGGATAAATGGAAATGCAATGGAATCTCATAACAAAAATTTATAAAACTTGCACAAATGCTCATTCTATCTGGCACTTGTATTATCTGAAAATGGTTATAAAACATAATCTTCAGACCCATTGTCTACCTACAATCATATATCACAATATGGCTCTGAAGTTTAAAGAAGATTGATGTGGGTATGATGTTTATTATTTTTGAAGGGGTTTTCTGAAGATTTAAAAAACTAAGAATAATTCAGCATTCTTGATGTCTTAGCGCATGTGCGTGTAAAAGTCAAGACTTCCTTTATTTATACCTGGCATCTTATAATTGCAACCATCTGCTTATTAGGTGCCATTCTTTACATGCAAAGTCCCCCTACCCCTCACTAACTACTGCACATCTACAGTGCACAAAGTTGAAGTTGAACCAGACGTGCATATGCTCTGCTATGGGCTGGTTCTGTATGCACCAGATCTGCCTCATACTTTGTACATATTGCTTTGAAATGGTAAAGCCTGCCTTCAGAAGACTGAAATTTCTCCATCTTATGGTTGGCCTTTACCATGGCAATCGTTCCATCACACCTGGAATGGCAGCATGTCGTTCCTGGAAAAAAACACTTAAAGGCATGTAATCCAAATCTGTATTCTCTGTGCTGGCTTTGTGTTTCTATGGCACTGGACTTCCATCACAGAACACATAATCACTTTTTGTCTTTGCGCTTTAAAATGATGGGCAATGTCAAAGTCAACCCATACCACCTTCCTATTCAATTCTCTGATGAACTGCAAACTTCACAGGGTCATTACTTCAAGCTTTGTATTCAAGTGTAAACATTTCTGTTTTGTTGTCATAATCAAGGCAGAACACTTTAACATAACACCATGCAACACAATCACAGATATTTTGAATTCCCTTACACTAACCAAGTGTAACAACAAACAGTGAAATCAACTACAGAACTAAAGAGAAATTTATATGACATCACATGATGGTCATTTCTTATTGGTTAAAATTTTATGAGGACTTGACTCTGAAGCCATCAGGTCATACAAAATGTAGTCCAGAAACGACTCTCCCCTCCTGTGACAGTTTGAGGTGTCAGCCAATGTTTCTTAATGACGTATTAGAACAATTCTGTACATGCATGCCAATCCCCCTGGCACACACTTATGATTTTGCCTAACAGTTCCACAATAGTTTACAGATCTGTGTGCCAGTTATCAAAAATAATAATCAACGGAATGGAGAATATTGTCTGTTTAAAGTTTTCAGTCGGCTTCTCCTATGCTCCTTGTCAGACTTTATACTCACATGCGTAGCTTTCACTGTATGTGTTACATTTTCTCCTGTCCCACATATACACTCATGAAAATAGAATCATGTCATATGTCTGCCCCCCCTCCCCAATTACAAATTTGAACAGAAGTCTTATCTACCTTGGTTATTTTCCCACTAATGTAGTAAGAGCGCTGATCAGAGTTGTGAGCTCAGTATTTCAGATGATAGCCTACACTCACTACCCCTCACTCCCAATGAATAGGCACATAAAATATATATTTTAGTAATTTTTCCACTAACAACATAATAAGATCTGCAGGTCAGTCAGTGTCTAGCTTTGAAAATTCTGATGACGATCCACCCGTCTCCCCTACAGGCCTCCCCACCAACTACAAACATGTGGGGTAACTTTTATTTTCATTTCCATTTGATTCATTCAGATGCCACTATTTCAAAGCTTAGAAAAACATATGTGAATGTTGTATTCACAGAAAAGTCAGTCACAAAGGCATCACAGGGCTGAAACCTCTTTCAGGGTATGAGTGACACTTTCACTACAGTTGGTTTGTAAATATTCACTGTAAGGTAAAGTTGTCCCTGTGCTTAATTAGTTAAGCATTATGACATGAAGACATATAAGGGAGTGGAGGTATAGCTCCACCATTCTTGACCTTGGCACTAGATGGAGGTAAGTGGTCAGCTTCACAACCTGCCCACTTTACCCCTGGTACCCATTGGAGAGGCTGGGTGGGCCCCAAAGCGAACCTGGGTGCTGTGGAGAAAAGAAAAATCCTGCACTCCCAGAAATTGAACCCAGGCCATCTAGGCCAAAGCTTGTCACTACCAATTGAGCTATCCCACCTTCCTAAATACTCACAATAGGAAAGCATAATGGAACAGCTGAAGAGAAAATTACAATGCCAAAGTCACAAAATAACGCAATGCATGAACAATTGGACTGCAGACACACTGACAAAGTAATGCGACACACAACTACTGTAACAAAGGTTAACACTGTCCTGAAATTTTATGCTTACATTTCTGAAAAGAAAAAGCCGGAATGGCCGAGTCAGTATGGAGACTGGGCTGCAGGCTGGATGTCCAGGGTTTAATTGCCAGCAGGGGCAGGAGACTTTTCTCTCCTCCATAGCATCCAGACTGGCCCTGGTGCCCCACCCAGTCTCCTCTCCAATTGGTACTAAAGGCTCTTTTGCCAGGAGTAAAGTGTCTGGGGAATGAAGCTGACCTCTCACCCCATCTCAATTGATAATCTACTTTTACCTGATTGGCAGTTCTCAAGATAGGCTGAGAGTTGTTGCTGTAAATATGTAATAATTAAAATGTACAAGATCATATGTAAAATAAAATATAATAATTCATTATATTTTGTTAACACTAATCCTTATCAAATGTTAACATAAATTACACATTAAATCCATAGGCCAGTGGAACATGGAAGTATAGATGGTTCAGAAAATTTGTCAATATAATTCATTCAGTCAATTTTAATTTCTGTGGAAGAGGAATTACTGTGACAATTCTTTTGAATAATAGAATTAAACTGTATGTAATTTTGGTTCTTCTCTTAGTCATGAATTTCCCATGTACAATTTGTCTTGCTTTGTTTTATGAGTACAAAATATGGTGCCTTGATCTAAGTAAAGACTAAGAACTGAAAGGTTTTAGAAACAGTTTTTTGAAAAGAATAGTGATGTAAGAGATGAAGATATAGGAAAATGGAAAAACTACACAATGTAAATCTTCATAATATGTATCCTTCACACAGTGTTGTACAGAATGACTACTTTCTGATGCTTGTTAAGGGTTAAATAAAGGAATACATGTATGAGATAGACCAAACATGTAATATGTATGGAAGAAAACGTTCTATACAGCTTGAGTGGAGAGCCTCATGCAGTTAAAACCATACATGAGATTAAAGAGTACATGTGAATATGGTATTAAAGTGACTCTCAGGGAAATATCCTGTAGGGGTGTAAACTGAAATGGCTTACATTAGGGTACAAAAGTTTGAATTCTTAGCTGTGAATGGTGAACATTCAAGGTCTGTACAAAGTTAAGTATCATTTCTTCACTGTTCATGTAAAATGCTATATGAAGGAATTAGTTGCTTCTCAGTTTAGTGTCAAAATGTGTTGTCCCATGATGAACCTTAAATGGGGGCTCTGAAATATAAAGAGCAGGAGAACCACACTACTTAAAAACAAAAGCACCCATTAGTTTCATCATATCTCTCCACAAATAACAAAGCCCAAATTATGGACCAGTTTGGATGAAACTGGATATGATACAGCTAGACTAAATTTCATCAAACCATTTTCTTTCTCTCTGTAAAGCCTTATTTAGTTAAGAACCTGAATGTTCCCTGAAAATATATCAAGTCATCCGACAAATTTTAATAAAACTTGATAAATGGCACTTATACAAATTCAATACAGTTCAATTCA